AGATAGATAGATAGATAGATAGATAGATAGATAGATAGATAGATAGATAGATAGAGGGGGGGAAGAGAGATGGATAGAGAGAAGGAGAGAGAACGGGAGAGAGAAAGAGTTAGAGAGAGATATGAAAGTGCTTTAAAGGTACAAAGAACTTCAATATCCTTATTATTTTCTTTTAGCTAGACACATAGTTAAATACTATGCTAGCTTTCTATCTTTTACACTGATAGCTATTCATTACGTAACGAAATGCACTTTTGGTAATATTTTGAAGAAAAAAAAGACGTTTGTTCAAATTATTTAACCCTTGAATATATATTTATTTGTGTTTTACATAAAACGTTTTTGCTTCACCGATTCTATAACAGGGTGTAAATATTACATAGGAACCATAAGAAGAGATTTTAAACTACATTGATTTTAGGAAATGGTCGTTTTTACAAACTATTGGCTGAAAAAGGCTTTTTAATGATTTATCCCATCAAATAGTACGTAAAACAAGTTTTTATGTCCCATACTCTCTCTAAACCGAGGATATAAAACTGCTTGATTGACGTTGGTCAGTCAGTTTCGTTAGAGTTTCTAAAGCGGTCGCAACTACTTGAGGTCATATGAGTGCACTGACGTTGGTCGTAATGTATCAGATTATGAAAAAGGCAAACTTCATACTCCACCCCCCCCCCCCAAAAAAAAAGCCCAACAAACAAACAAACTCATGACTTGTTTTTATCTTGAATCTTTGAAAGACGCCCCGACCTGACGTAGACGGGTTTTCGACGGACGAGTTTCAGTTTGAGTAAACCCAATAATGGTCATTTAATTTAATGTTGGGAAATAGAAATACAAACAGATAGACAGAAACAACAGAAGGAGGCTTAAGAAGTAGGACGTACAAGTGGCTCCCTCCATCCACCAATTCTTCGAATATAAGACACGTAGGGATAGAATACCGAGTAAGTTCCAAATAAAGGATCAAATTTACTTTTACTGAAACAACATAAAGATCTTGTCACTTAACTCTTGCTCTTTGAGATGAAGTAGCCCCACCTGTGTGTCGTCTAACCAACACAGAACAAAACACCGTCACTTTTTGTTAACACGTTCACTGGATGGTTCTAACATTAGAATGTCTTTGCATTATTTACCATTGTTAAAAAAAAGGAAGAAACCAACTGAAAAGTCTGTATTCTAGAAACTTGTTTTTTGTTGTGGTTCTGGTTGTTGTTGTTTTTGTGTTGTTGTTGTTGTTGTCTTTGTGGTTGTTGTTGTTGCTGTTGTTGTTGTTGTTGTTGTTGTTGTTGTTGTTGTT